TATGGATGAAGCCGAGGTTGCTCAATTCTCATTAGGTCCTAAAGACGCGGTTTTTGTGAAGCCCGATGAGTCAAACCGTCACATGAAGCCTCTCTATCTCAAAGGCCATGTTGATGGGAAACCGGTCTCTAGGATGCTAGTGGATGGAGGTGCCGCCGTGAACTTGATGCCGTACTCATTATTCAAGAAGTTGGGGCATGAGGATGATGAGTTGAAGAAGACCAACATGATTCTCAATGGCTTCAATGGTGAACTAACGGAGGCGAAGGGTATCTTTTCGGCGGAGCTCACCGTGGGAAACAAGACGCTACCAACCGCTTTCTTCATCGTCGATGTGCAAGGTAACTACAATGTTATTTTCGGTCGTTGTTGGATTCATGCCAATTGTTGTGTGCCTTCTACCTTGCATCAATGTTTAATTCAATGGGACGGCGATGATGTTGAAATTGTTCAAGCGGATACATCGGCCGAGGTTGCAATGGCCGATGCTACTTTTGAGTGGCGTCATGGGAATATCCAATGCTTATCGGGGAGGGATCTTTCTAGCTATGATTTTATTAGTATCTCCGATGGCAAATTTGTACCTATCTCTATAAAGCCGGCTAGTGTAGCACGGCTAAGCCATATAAATTTGTATAATGAGTAAAGAGGCTAATTTAGAGTGGTTACAAAAGATGGTGCAAGAATATCGGTCTACAAAGAACGATATTGGTGAAACCGTTGAAGATTTTGATGAAGTAGAAAAGCTTGGGTAAGAGTTTACATCGGCCGATCCTTTGGAAGAAGTAGATATAGGTGATGGAACTAAACCAAGGCCGACTTTTGTAAATAAAAATATGAGAGTTGATTATAAGGTTAAAATAATCGAGCTACTTAAAGAGTATGTTGATTGCTTTGCATGGGAATATCATGAGATGTCGGGTCTTAGCCGTGAGCTTGTTGAGCATCGGCTTCCAATTAAACTGGGTTTTAGGCCTTATAAACAACCACCTCGTCGCTTTAATCCTTTGCTATATGACCGGGTCAAAGAGGAGATTGATCGGTTGTTGAAGGCAGGGTTTATTAGGCCATGTTGTTATGCGGAGTGGGTTTCTAGCATAGTCCCGGTGGAGAAGAAGGGGAGTGGTAAGATTAGAGTTTGCATAGATTTTAGAGATTTAAATAAAGCCACTCCCAAAGATGAATATCCTATGCCTATAGCCGACATGATGATTAATGATGCCTCGGGTCATAAGGTGATTAGCTTTCTAGATGGTAATGCCGGCTACAATTAAATCTTTATGGCGGAAGAGGATATGTACAAGACGGCTTTTAGGTGCCCGGGATTTGTTGGTTTATTTGAGTGGGTTGTCATGACTTTTGGGTTGAAGAATGCCGGTGAAACATATCAAAGGGCAATGAATTTGATCTTTCATGATTTGTTAGGTATTATCCTAGAGATCTATATTGATGATATTGTTGTCAAATCGGATGGTATGGAAGGACACATAGCCGATTTGAGGTTAGCTTTTGAGAGGATGCGCCGGTATGGTTTGAAGATGAACCCACTTAAATGTACTTTTGGTGTGTCGGCGGGGAAGTTCGTAGGATTCATGGTGCATGATAGAGGAGTTGAGATTGATCCTAAGAAGATAGAGAAGATTCGTGATTTCAAAGCGCCGACATGCAAGAAGGAGGTCTAAAAGTTGCTAGGTAAAGTGAATTATTTAAGAAGGTTTATTTCTAACCTAGCGGGTAGAATCGATGCTTTTGTTCCTATACTTCGCTTGAAAAAAGAAGCCGATTTTACTTGGGGGGCAAAACAACAAGAGGCGTTTGAAGAGTTGAAGAAATATTTGTCTACTCCACCCGTTGTGCGAGCGCCTAAAGCCGGAAAGACTTTTCAGTGATATATTGCCTCCGAAGACAAAGTCATTGGTGCCGTTTTGACGCAAGAAGAAGATGGCAAGGAATATATCATTACATATTTGAGCCGCCGTCTTTTGGATGCCGAAACGAGATATGTTTTTATAGAGAGACTTTGTCTATGTTTATACTATGTTTGTACCAAATTGAGGCATTATTTGTTATCTAGTACATGCATAGTTACTTGTCAAGCCAATGTTATTAAACACATATTGCAAAGGCCAATTCTAAGTGGGAGAATTGGCAAGTGGGCATATGCTTTGATAGAATATGATTTGGCTTATGAACCATTGAAATCTATGAAAGGCCAAATTGTATGTGATTTTATAGTGGACCATCATATAGATATTGCTTATGAGGGAGAGGTTTGCTTAGTTGAAGTTATACCTTGGAAGATTTATTTTGATGGTTTTTCTTGCAAAGAAGGTCAAGGCATAGGGGTAGTTTTGTTTTCACCTAATGGCATGTGTTATGAAGCATCGGTTCGTTTGGAGTATTATTGTACAAATAATCAAGCCGAATACAATGCTTTATTGTTCGGCTTACAAGTTATGGAGATGGTTGCGGCTAAATACGTGGAGGCTTTTGGTGATTCGGAATTGGTGATGCAACAAGTCGCTGGAGTCTACAAATGCTTGGACGGATCACTAAATAGGTACCTCGATTCATGTTTGGATATTATTGCCAATTTTGATAATTTTGCTATTAGACATATTGTTAGGCATGATAATTCTAGAGCAAATGACTTGGCACAACAAGCATCTGGCTATAATGTGAAGAAGGGATTATTTCTGATATTAGAAGAGCCGGTGCTTGATTTTAAATCTTTGTGCGAAATTGGCAAAACTGGAGACCAGGGGCGGTCTGACCGGCATTGCACGGCCGATCTGACCGGTGACCAGGGGCGGTCTGACCGGCCGCATGCCGCCGGTCTAACCGGCGACCCCGAGTGGTCTGACCGGCCCTGTGTGGCCGGTCTGACTGGTTCTGGACAGAGCGCTGGGGGACACATTTCAATCAATTTAGAGGCCGAATTAACTATGAATTCGGACATTTGTGCCCAGGAAGCAGAAGAAGATTGGAGAATTCCTTTGATTCTATATTTGAAAGATCCCACACTTAAGGTTGATCGGAAAATTTGGCGGCAAGCGTTCAAATACACATTGCTTGATGAGGATTTATATCGCCGAAACATAGATGGTGTCTTGTTGAAGTGCTTAGATGAAGATCAATCTAAAGTGGCTATAAGAGGGGTACATGAAGGAATTTGTGGAACTCATCAATCGGCCCACAAGATGAATTGGTTGCTTAGGAGAGCGGGGTTCTATTGGCCGAAGATGATTGATGATTGCTTCAAATATTATAGAGGATGTGAAGCTTGTCAACGGTTCGGCAATGTTCAATTGGCGCCCGCCGCCGTGTTGAACCCCATAATCAAACCATGGCCGTTCCGAGGATGGGCTTTTGGATTTCATTGGTCAAATTTATCCTTCGTCATCAAAGGGGCATAGGTTCGTGCTAGTTGCTACGGATTACTTCACCAAGTGGGCCGAAGCCGTGCCTTTGAAGAATATGACTCATACGGAGGTAATTGACTTTATTTTGAAGCATATTATCCATAGATTCGGTATTCCACAAACATTAACTACAGATCAAGGTGCTTCTTTTATGTGTAAGAAAGTGAAGAATTTTGCCGAATCTTATGGTATTAAATTGTTGAGTTCTTCTCCTTACTACGCTCAGGCTAATGGACAAGCCGAGTCAAGTAATAAAACATTGTTGAAGATAGTGAAGAAAAATATTGAGGAATACCCAAAGAGGTGGCATGAGGTGCTTTCTGAAGCATTGTGGGCGCATAGGATATCTAAACATGGTGCCACTAAAGTCACTCCTTTTGAGTTGATTTATGGTCAAGAAGCCGTTTTACCGGTGGAGGTAAATCTTGGTTCTCTTCGTTATATCAAGCAAGATGATTTGTCAAGTGAAGATTATATGACGTTGATGGGAGACAACCTTGATGAAGTCATCGATAAGCGCTTGAAGGCATTCGAAGAGATAGAGAAAGAGAAGAAGAGGGTGGCCAAGGCGTACAACAAGAGGGTGAAAGCAAAGTTATTTCAAGTTGGAGACTTGGTTTCAAAGATTATTTTGCCTTTGGGTACATGATCCAAGGTGTTCGGTAAGTGGTCTCCTAGTTGGGAGGGTCCTTATCGAGTATGCGGCATTGTTCGAGGGAACGCATTTTTTTTGGAGACACTTCAAGGGGAGCGTTTTCAGCAAGCAATCAACGGGAAATACTTGAAGAAATACTTCCCGAGCGTTTGGCAATACGCTTTGGAGGTACTATGGCCGGTAATTGGATTATTGTCCTAAGACCAAAACATGTTCTATGCTTTTAGATTCACATTGTTCATCAAAAAAGCAGGGGGCATGTGTTTACACCCAAATTTGGCACCTAAGATTAAAATAGGAAAGATTGCCAAAATTTGGAAGTCTACCGGTTTCCTCCGACTGGGCCGATCTGACCGCTGTGTGTTGGCCGGTCAGACCGCCGGTTGAGGGCCGGTCAGACCGGCGGTGTGTGGCCGGTCTGACCGGCAGGTCCGAGTTCGACTGTGTTTCGTCGGGTCTCGAGGTTTCCTTGCTCGGGAAGGCATGTTTCGGGTTTCCTTTGGTTTCTACCCCGAGTTGGACGTGGAGGAGGGCCTGTAGAGAGCAAGACCAACCCCTATATAAGGGACATGGCCGGTTCATTGTAAAAAATCAATCTACAATCAATCAATCGAATCGTTTTTTCATATTGCTTTTAGTTTTCCCTTAGTTTGTCCATCTTTGTCGGTTTGCGCCGTAAACCGTCCGCCACCGCTGCGAGAGTGCGACATCTCTTTGTAGGTTTGTCCTGAAAACCTTTCGTTTTGCCCACGAGACGGGTAGTTATCTAGAAATCGGCTCCGCTAGCCGGTTTAGTTATCAAAACCCATCTAGGTTTAGCTCTTTGCTAGATCGAGGTTGTTTGCGACTCTAGGATCACCGCAAGGCTTAAGGTGCTGCAATCGTGCTTGTCAACTTGTCAGAAAAGTTGCCAACACCTATAGTTAGAGTTCTCCATGAAGGATCTTGGTGCCCTACATTACTTTCTTGGTGTCACTGTTGCTCGCAGCAACACCGGCTTGCTTTTGCATCAGCGGCAGTACTGTCTTTATATCCTGGAGCGCGCTGGCATGACCGACTGCAAGCCGTGCTCCACTCCCATTGACACCTGCGCCAAGTTATCATCTACAGATGGTCCACCCGTGGCAGATCCAACGGATTTTCGCAGCCTTGCAGGAGCACTTCCGTACCTCACCTTCACCAGGCCTGACATCTCCTATGCTGTCCAATAGGTGTGCTTACACATGCATGATCCTCGGGAGTCCCATCTTGCAGCTCTTAAACAGATTTTGCGGTATGTCCGGGGTACGCTCGATCTTGGTCTCCATATTCAACGCTCTTAGGCTCATGATTTTGTTGTCTACTTTGATGCTGACTGGGCCGGCTGTCCTGACACTCGCAAGTCTACGTCCGGTTATGCTGTATTCCTTGGTGACAATCTCGTACCATGGTCCTCCAAGCGCCAGAATACTGTCTCCAGGTCAAGTGCTGAAGCCGAGTATCGAGCTGTTGCAAATGTCGTCGCTGAAACCAGCTGGCTGCACCAATTGCTCCAAGAGCTGCATTCTCCTCCAGCCAGAGCTACCTTGGTGTATTATGACAATGTCAGTGCAGTCTATCTCTCCTCCAATCCGGTACAGCATCAAAGTACGAAGCACGTCGAGATTGATCTACACTTCGTGCGTGAGAAGGTTGCCCTCGGTGCTGTTCGAGTGTTGAATGTTCCAATATCTTCCTAGTGTGCGGACATCTTCACCAAAGGACTTCCCACTCCGGTTTTTACCGAGTTTCGTTCCAGTCTCAACGTCCGTTCCAACGACGTTGTGACTGCGGGGGGGTGTTAGACAATATAGTTTACATGTATGGTTGAGTCTTATCTCCTGTGACCTTTGATCCTTATCCTCCCGATTTTATTGCTATAAGTCGATTGAGTAGTTATGGACAGGTCTATATATGTAAACACTCCGAGATTAATCCAATCTATGTTGAGTTCTTCCGTCTCACACTTTGTGGTGTCAGTTGGGAAAACCGACACCTTTGTGGGGTTTCCAACTGGCACAAATGATATTTTATGTGGTAGTGACTCCACAGGGGACATGTGAATAATTGTTTTACCATGTCCTAAACTAAGCAGGGGACAGATGATATGTGAATAATTGTTTTACCATTCCGTCAAAAAATAATTATTTTACCATGTCCTAAATTAGGTCGTAATTCGTTTATTATGGGGAAGTCAGATGATGATTAGTGATAGGGATGATTGAGACGATTAGTATTAGAGATGATTAGGTCGTAACTCCAATTAGTGTCATAGAGATGATTAGGTAGGAGTCAGTATTAGAGATGATTAGGTCATAATTCTGATTAGTGTAATAGTTGGATGATTAAAGAGATGATTAGGCTATAATTCTTCCACTCTCAAGTACGGTTGGAGTCAGATGATAAGTAGTGTAGGGAAGTCATATGATTAGGTCTAGTTACAATTAGGAGTAGTGATGAGCACCCGGCGGTGAATGCACCCTGATTTATCCCTCTCTTTCACGGTACCAGTAATTATATTAACTTTGTAAGTAAACAGTAGCAGTATACACTAGTACAGATCCTATCATCTGTGACGGGCTCAATTATGCCTGTACTACTTGGGCCGCCAGAACGAAGTCATCTCAATCGGGCTTAAATTTGCACCGTTGTAGATGTAGTCACTCTAGGCCCAAGTACATATAGCCCATCACTGATAACACTCATCTGTGACGAATAAAGATTTAGGCCCGATTGAGATAACCTCGCATATCTCAATCAGGCCTAGACACCGAGCCCGTCAGAGATGAGGGTCATCGGTGACGGGCTCCAAATATGGCCTGATAGAGAAGACTTTAAAGCCCGTCACCGATGACTCATATCGGTGTCGGGCTTTTGTTGATGCCTGTTAGAGATAACTTTTACTTAGGTCATTTTTTCTATACAACTTTTTTTTTTGAACAGTTTGAGTCTAAATTTGAAAATATGACAACTTCAAACAACATTTTTAAATACTAAATGATTTTAAATGAAAAAATTATCAACAACAAAGTTGTATAACATACCAATATTTACAACTTTTATTTTTATTTTGGTTATTTTTCTATATAATATTTTTTAAAACAGTTTGAATTTGAATTTGAAAATATGACAACTTCAAAACAACATTTTCAAATACTAAATGATTTAAACTAAAAAAGTCATCAACAACAAAGTTGTATAACTCATTAAGATCTATAACTTTTATTTTGGTCATTTTTCTATATAACTTTTTTTTGAACAGTTTGAATTTGAATTTGAAAATATGACAACTTCAAACAATATTTTCATATACTAAATGATTTCAACAAAAAAAAGTCATCAACAACAAAGTGTTATAACTCATCAAGATCTATAACTTTTATTTTGGTCAATTTTATATATAACGTTTTTTTGAACAGTTTGAATTTGAATTTGAAAATATGACAACTTCAAACAATATTTTCATATACTAAATGATTTCAATTAAAAAAGTCATCAACAACAAAGTTGCATAACTCGTCAAGATCTATAAGTTTTATTTTTGTCATTTTTATATATAACGTTTTCTTCAACAATTTGAATTTGAATTTGAAAATATGACAACTTCAAACAACATTTTCATATACTAAATGATTTCAATTAAAAAAGTCATCAACAACAAAGTTGCATAACTCGTCAAGATCTATAAGTTTTATTTTTGTCATTTTTATATATAACGTTTTCTTCAACAGTTTGAATTTGAATTTGAAAATATGACAACTTCAAACAACATTTTCATATACTAAATGATTTCAACTAAAAAAGTCATCAACAACAAAGTTGTATAACTCACCAAGATCTATAACTTTTATGTGTGTTATTTCTTCATGTGACAAAGTGCTAGTAACATTGTTCACAAAATTCACACATTTGTGTTATAGTTTATAAAACTAGATGAGAGATATGTGAATTTTATGAACAATATTACTATCACTTTGTCGGATGAAGAAATGACCAAAATAAAAGTTATAGATCTTGATGAGTTGTACAACTTTGTTGTTGATGACTTTTTCAGTTGAAATCATTTAGTATTTGAAAATCTTTTTTGAAGTTGTCATATTTTTAAATTCAAATTCAAACTGTTCAAAAAAGTTGTATAGAAAAATGAACAAAATAAAGTCTCATTCTTTTCTCCAACAAGAGTTGGATGAAGATTAAGATTTTCGTGGTACGTTTTCCAAACTGCTAAACGGTGCATTTCGTGCGAAAAATTTCTATATAAAAGTTGCTCTAAAATATCATATTAATATATTTTTAAAGTTTGTAATAATTAAAACTCAATCAATCATACGTTAATACCACCTCATTTTGCGTAAAAAACTTAATCTTCATCTTCATCTTCATTTTCAAGTGAAAAGAATGCCACCTAAAAGTTATAGATATTGATGAGTTATACAACTTTGTTGTTGATGACTTTTTCAGTTGAAATCATTTAGTATTTGAAAATGTTGTTTGAAGTTGTCATATTCTTAAATTCAAATTCAAATTGTTCAAAAAAAATGTTATATAGAAAAAAGGCTAAAGTAAAAGTCATAGATCTTGATGAGTTATACAACTTTGTTATTGATGATTTTTCCATTTGAAATCATTTACTACCCGAAAAAATATTTGAATTTCTTATATTTTAAAATACAAATTTTATATAGTTCAATCAAACCTGGATGGAGAAATGACCAAAATAAAAATGGTAGATCTCAATGAGTTCTACAACTTTGTTTTTTATAGCTTTTTCATATGAGTTCATTTAGTATCATAAAATTCAATTCAAAATTTATTTTTTCCTAGAAATCTGATTTGCTTCCTACTCATGATAATACTTGCTAAATATATATTTGATCCAATTAACTTGGATTTGCGGTGAAATATGTGATCAAAATAGATGTTATGTGAATGTGGTTGTGTTATGTGAATGAATGTATATGAATAGGGGATGTTAGGGTGTGATATCCTGGCCCAGGGCTTAATAGGATTAATAGAATACTCATACCAACAAATTACAATTTCTTTCTCGGAAGCCAATCTCCAAAGAACTATGAAGTTAAGCGTGCTTGGCCTAGAGCAATTCTCGGATGGGTGTTCGACTGGGAAGGCACACAAGGGAGGTTCGAATGGGTGACCGACCGGGAAGGCACACAAAGCTAATCTAGGCCCGTTAGAGATGAGAGTCATCCGTGACGGGCTTTTGTGTTGGCCCGATTGAGATGTGTCATCTGTGACGGCCGGATACCCGATTGAGATATTTTCTCATATCACTGACCTGTGCTAAAGCCTAGGCCCGTTAGAGATGAGAGTCATCTGTGATGGGCTTTTGTGTTGGCCCGATTGAGATGTGTCATCCGTGACGGCCGGATACCCGATTGAGATATTTTCTCACATCACTAACATGTGCTTAAGCCTGCCCGATTGAGATGTGTCATCTGTGACGGCCGGATACCCGATTGAGATATTTTCTCATATCACTGACATGTGCTAAAGCCTAGGCCCGTTAGAGATGAGAGTCATCTGTGATGGGCTTTTGTGTTGGCCCGATTGAGATGTGTCATCCGTGACGGCCGGATACCCGATTGAGATATTTTCTCACATCACTAACATGTGCTTAAGCCTAGGCCCGTTAGAGATGAGTGTCATCCGTGACGGGCTATAATCTAGGCCTCTTAGAGATGAGAGTCATCCGTGACGGGCTTTTGTGTTGGCCCGATTGAGATGTGTCATCCGTGACGGCCGGATACCCGATTGAGATATTTTCTCACATCACTGACCTGTGCTTAGTGACGGGGGCCTGCCCGAAAGAGATGATGCTTTAAGCCCGTTAGAGATGATCAATCCCGTTCTAGTGATATATACTCAACTTGAAAGAAAACTCAGATCAACTAGAATCTTCAAAACAAGACCACACATGGATATATTCCGACGAAAATTTTTTTTAGCTTATTATTGAATTTTTTTTAAATGTTGCACGATGTTCCACCAGGTATATCGGAATTGTTTCACTAAATAGATCGAAAATGTTTCACTTGTTTAAATCGGGTGTTGTTTCACCTTATATAAAAATAATATTTCAGCAAATAGCGAAAGAATGTTTCAGTTCACTGCAACATTTGATCCATACATGGTGAAACATTGTAAGTACACTAGGTGAAACATTTTTCAGTGGAACAAAAAATGAAACGAATTCCCTTGATAGGGGGTTTCCAAAATATGTGGGTGATTTGTTGCAATGGCACGTTACATAATATCAAAATCCACTGCAACATTTGATCCGTATATATTGAAACATTGCAAGTATACTAGCTAAAACATCGTAAAACTAATGGTTGAAACATCAAAAGAGATCATATGCAACATTCAAACAAAATATCAATAGAGAAGCTAAAATATTTTTTTGTCGAAATATAATCATGTATGGTCTTATTGTAAAGATTTAATTGCAACGAATACAACGGTGTGAGATTGGATCGTAGATTGGATAATTAGTTTAAGAGAAAAATCATTTTAAAACTACAGCGGCAGGAGGCGCGGACGCCGAGGCATCCATTTTTTCTCCGACGTCGGACGTCCGGCGCGCAGCATTCTCCAGTCATAACCCTAGATGCAACACTTCCAAAAAAAAAAAATCTCCTCCCCTGTTACGTGGCCAGTAGGGCCTAATAAACAGAGCACGCAGGCCCACATGAGACATGAAATCCTGTTCGGACTCAAACAAAAAAGAAATATACTACTTACTTTGGTAATCTGGCCGCTAATGTTCTTATTAATTAACCTTAGCTAATTAATCTATAGGTACTGGAAGTGAACCGATATCCTATCAATAAAACTTAAGGTTTTTTATACCATTTCAGATGAGCTGCCACGTGCTGCCTTGCTACTGTAGAAACTACAGTCATTGCATGTTGTCCACATCGTTCGATTGTGGCTGCAATAGCATCTCTGTCCTTGAGCGTGTCTTCCCAGGGAGCCTCAGCTACTCTCCAGGGGGACCCATTTTTTTACCCACTAGATGATTCATCCCCCAGCTTCTCTATCTGCACGCAGTCCACACGCTTCCTCCGTCGATCCATCCAGCACCGCCGGCGGCATCGCCGCCTCCCTTGCCCAGTGTGTTCTTGCGCCTTCTTTTGCTTAGCTGTGGACGGCCGCGGTCTTCTGCTCGGTGGCTTCGTCTCCACCATCTCCATTCCATCCGTCCGCGGCCATCGCCGTCTGCGAGCAGCAGCAGCCTCTCCTCTCCCAGTGACAGTACACTCAGTTGCGCCACCACCGACGACCTTTTGCTTGACCGGTTGGTTCTCCTGTGCCCATCGCCATCGCGTGTGGGAGCAATGCCCTCTTTTTCCCACGGCAGTCCTGGCAAGAAAATCCTTCTATCCCCATTATTGTACAGAAGAAACCCTTAGGCCTTTAGAAATATCGTTCTTTGATTTATTATGTACCACTGTGACAGATTCCCTTAATCTGTATTTTTAATGGTGCAAGTTACTTATTATCAAGCATGTGATTCAATAATCCCTAGTGATTAAGCATTTTCTAATTGAATTTGGCCTGCTACAGTGGTTATGGGATAGTTTTCTGCTGCCCCCAAGTCCACAACATGCACATATTAAAGGTGTCCATATTTAGGTTCATGCTTAGTAAAATCTATATTATCGGTGAAGTACGGATCATATATAGTGCCCCTTGCTGCCACGTACCCCTGCTTATTCTCTTGGATCCAGTAGAAACTACAGTAAGCAATCATAGCCATCAGATATTATGCCCTTTGCATCCTATTCCTCCACGTGTTTCCCACTATACAGCTTCACATTTTCCTCACCATCCCAACTCCCAAGACTATGGCCTTGTTTGGAGAACTTGTCCCAGATGCAACTTTTCTCAAAAGCTGCTTCTATTAGAAGCTGCCCCAAACAGTCTATAGCTTCTAAGAATTTATAGTTACAGATTCTGAAAAATAAACTGAGAAGTCAGAAGCTGGAGAAGCTGGGTTTCAGAGCTTTTCCAGATTCTCAAAAGCTGGCTGCCAAACAGCTGTTTCTCAGAATCTAAAGCTCTCCAAACAGACCCTATATGTGCGATGGAGGAGAAATTTGTCAGCATGTTTGAAAAAGAATTATTTATTTTTTGAACGATATTCTTGGATTATAGCGTAACAATTCTGTTAAATCTCACTAAGCAATTAAATAATCTCTATCTATCTATTCTACCATGTTCTACGTAAAGAGAGTGGTGAAATAAAGATTTTTTTATTGTTACACTGTCCACCCACGTATATATAAATAAATAAAATTTTAAATTTAGTAATAATTATGGAACCACCACCCACTTTGTATTTATCTAAAAAACCCACAACTAATTATATGTTTTCAGATGAGAAACATATAGCAACTTTTCATATGTCAAACTTAATAAATAACTGTTTTAATGCCCCATCTCAATAACCAAAGGAATATATATATAAGAGCAAAGAAAACATATTTTAGTATGACATGTACATGGTTTGAGTATCTGTTTTTTCTATCGAGGTACCGATAGGATCAAAATTTAAAAATTTTGGCCCGAAATAATTTTAATGTTTGAAAAAAATTGATCAAATTTAATAATTTTGCCAAATTAACGAAAAATAAAAAAACAAATTGTGGTGCAATAATTTCGTATTGGGATTTCGATAGACCTGAAATTTCAAAAACTTAAGTCCAAAATTTTCTCTCTTTTCTTCAAACTTTATAAATTTTATATTATTAACCTTCTATAGTCACCGCAGCAATGCGCGGAGTGTTGGCTAGTATATATATTGTTTGCATTGATTCATTCCTCCGCGCCCAACAACTTCCTTTTCTCCAACCAAAATTACCTGTCTCTTGGACGTATCAAGTGGTGAGAGTAATTCTTTTATTCTAGGATAGGTGATAGTTGTGGTGTCAGATGATTAATCGTAATTCTATTACTCCTGATGATGTGAAAAGTCAGATATGATTAGGTCATATATATATGTCTTTACTCTCTACTCCTAAAGAGTAAAGAGGAGAGGTGAGAGTAATTCTTTTATTCTAGGATAGGTGATAGTTTTAAAGTTAGATCATTATATCGTATTTCTTTTACTCCTGAAAAGGTGAGGTTTGAGGTCAGAGTTGTAATTTTTTACTCCTGGAGAACATGTGCGAGCTTTTATACGGGAGAAAAAAAGGTGGGGATAATTTTTCTATGAGAGAACGTAGGAGGCGAAGGAAATGGAAAAAGGGGACGCAGAAGGAGGTAACAGAAACGGAAATTGCAGAAGAGGAGGCGTGCGGACTAATTTTCCGAGCATAACGCGTGTATTAGTGTTACCGTAAAGTATATTATGATCCAACTTAAATCAAAATAATTATGGCTTTTTAGTATTTTAGTGGTGCTCTCATTTCTAAGGGCTATTTTCTTACGTAGAACCATCCGTAAAAATTAAATATTCAATATAATTTTAAATGCAAAACTTTCAATAGCAAACATGCTCGTGAAAGCTACAATTTTCATATAAAGTTTGTCTTCATCTGACTTCATATAGAGGAGTTACATTTTTTTTTCTTCGATGGTGCTCCCCTCTCCGAGGGCGCTTTGTACTTTGACAGGCAGATTTCTTAAATATCCATACAAAGAAAAGGTTTTTTAGATGCTTTATGATCTGAGACAGCCTCAACCATTTTGGAAAAAAATTCTGTGCAGACCGGCTGCAAACCCCGCACCGTGCATACCCGATCCAGATTGGCGACGCGTGGACGAGCGAGTGATCCGACGGCGTGCCCGCACAGCTCCATCCGCACCAGGAGAAAGCCCAGCTCGGCTCGCTCACGTCGACTCCCACAACTAGAACTAGAAGCGCATGGACTGGCTCCACGGCTCACTCGCGTTATTTTCTCTCTGCTTCCCTTTCCCATCTCGCCTCCATCTGTCGGGATTGCCTCTCCTTGGCGCCATCGGCTTAGCCCATAATCCTCTCGCCTGCTACCGCCGTCACGGCCTCCCTCCTGGGCCCTGGCCACGAGCGTCGTCGGTGACGACGGCGGCGGCTGGGTTGGCTAAGGCGAGCACGAACCGTGTTCCCCTCCTCATCTCTCCTGACCACGGGCATCGGGCGCCTTTGGTGGAGGCCGTAGCGGCTGGGTTGGCGAGGGCGAGCATAAGCCAGAAGGCAGTAAAAGAGTACAGTTGAGTAACATGGTAAATGGAATAAAATCGAAATCCATTCCAACTTGAGGAACGATCAAAGCTTGTTCAGCTTTATCATTGACCTGTTGTGCAATTTCATCATGCATGATCATGGTCATCGGCTAGGTCCCTCCTCCTGTCACGGTGGCGGCTACGTTGCGCATGGCGGCGATCTGGCGAAGGAAGATGAAGCCGGAAAAAGATTCGCTTTTGCTGGAGCCGAGTCCGCGTACGGCATCCCTGCCGCCTCGAAGCGAAGCCGGCTGATCGCTCGAGCGGGAGCCGACGCGAGCGAGCCGAGTCGGGCCTTCTCCTGGTGCGGATGGAGCTGTGCAGGCGCGCCGTCGGATCACTCTCTCGTCCACGCGTCGCCAATCTGGATCAGGTATGCACGGTGCGGGGTTTGCAGCCGGTCTGCATAGAATTTTTTTCCACCATTTTCGGAAGTGCTTTTTTTTAAGCTATTCGTGAAGAACAAAGGGTGAAAAAAAAGGTTTCTGTAGAAGTGAGAGAGAGAGTAATATATATTTGAACACATCCTTTATTCAAGTAGGAAATCTTTGCATACATATATATACTGTCGGATGATAAAAGACACTGAGCCTGTCGCACTCGCACGCATGCCTTCCTGAGAACGTAGTAATAACTCGGTTACACAGCACGCTTCTTCACCTTCACCATGACCCCGTTCTTCATCTGCAGAAGGCACGACAGCTTCGGCACCACGGCCTGCCCTTCCACCACCTCCAAGTCGAAGTTCCACACCACGGCGGCGGCGATGATCTTCATCTGCATCACGGCGATGTTCTTGCCGGGGCACATCCTCGGCCCGGAGTTGAACGACAGGAACTTGTGCGACGGCACGTGTCGCATTTTCCGGCCGCCGCGGGAGTCGTACAGCCACCTCTCCGGCCGGTACACCCGGCAGTCCTCCCCCCACAGGCTCTCCATCCTGCCCATGGAGTAGATCGAGATGAGCACGGCGTCGCCGGCACGTACCTCGTGCCCGCTCGGCATCACGTCGTCGGCGACCACCGTCTTCCGCTCGATCCACCCCGGCGGGTACAGCCTGAGCGTCTCGAACAGCGCGGCGTGCAGGTAGACGAGGGATTTCGTGTCCTCCGGTGAGAACATCACCGGCACGCCATCGCCATTGCAGGTGCTTGTTGCAATATTGTGTGCCAGTTCTTCGCGGATGCCGGACACGACGCGCGGGTTCATGGCGAGGTTATAGAAGAACCACGGCAAGGTGGTGCCCACCGTGTCGCGCCCGGCGACCATGTAGGTGATGAGGATGGAGTGCAGGAGGCCGACGTAGTCCGGGTCGTTGATGTAGGAGGAGAGAACGTCCATGGACATGGAGGATGGCGCTGCCTCTTGCTTCCTCGCCTTCTCCATCATCTCGGAGACGAAGACGTGCAGCGCCGCGTGCGCCGCGGCGAGCTTCCTCTCGGGTCCAATCTTGAGCCGTCTCATCGCCTTCCAGCAGGACGGCGGCACGGTGTGCCGGAACAGCCCCACCTCCATGATCGTGTCCATCGCAGCCGAGACATGCATCGACGGCATGTCCGGGGACAGGCGGCCAGGGTCCACGCCGAACACCGTCATGGCCGTCACGTCGAACATGAGCCTCGTGGCCAGATCCTGCAACTCGAACGGTGTCCGGGTGCTCGCCATGGATGTCAATAACGGGAGGAGACCATCCCGAACCTTGTCGACACAGCTCGACGCCATCGAGGCAACCATCCTCGGGTCGCTGAGGATGCTATGGGTCTTGGCACGCTGCCGGCGGTAGAGATCGCCGTCCATGGTGAAGAAGGCGCCGGCCATGATGTCGAAGATCTCGGCGAACTCGTGGCCCTTGGGGTAGTTGTCATGGTTGGTGGTGAAGATGTGCCGGACATTGTCAGGGTCACATGTGACGAACAGTCGCATGTTGCTCGCCGCCGGGCCGTTCCCCGTGAAGCTATGGCCGGAGGCGGCGAGGTATTCGGTGATTTTGTCATGCAAGCGGTGCAGGTTGGCGACGAGGGTAGGGAGCAATCCTACTATCGGCCAGTCCACTGGGAACAAGGACTGATACTTTGATCTCCAGTACGATATGTACAAGAGAACAAGGAGTATCATCAGTGATGATACGAGATCTTGCAGGGAGGGCGTCAGTGACAGTGCCATTATGGTATATGTGTGTATGCTACTAATAATTAGGTGCATGTGTGATGGACAAAGAGAGGAAGGATGGATTGATTTATAGGGGAAGAGTACTACAGCATCGAATTAATGTCTCCTTCACCAGACCAGCGTCGTTTGCAACTGATCGATTAAGGGCATCGGTCGATAAATTTTCTCTCAGAAATTTATCAAATATAAATACAATATAATATAGTATAATTATATTATAAATTGCATCTAATTACAATATATACCGTATATATATATTTTTTGAAAACTGGCATTTACTGCAGTGGTAGCGCAATTTTCAGAACCGAGTCCCGTCACATGTCTGTGCGCTATGCCTCTTTCCCTGTTTGCATGAATCTTGAAGCAAATCTAACCATATACAAATCTATGTTTTCTATAAAGTTAAAGCTCACTAAGTCTAAAGCTGAACATGCAACCATGCCACATCATCACCCACTAGCAATAATTACATATTTAATCACATGGAAGCATACAACATGATCTACAATTTATTTAATTCTACAAATCAAAATGTAAGCATATTCAATCATCACCCCCTCATATTATTTGCATAATTTTTTTTTGACTTGAATAACTGCCAGGGCTTTGCCTCGCATTGTGATTTTATAAAGAAAACTCATAATATTTACAAGTTACAAGTTACATAAGGAAAAAGAAAATGATTAAACAGTTTGTAACCAATCAAAAACTATTTGTTTTAAATGATCCTTCATTTTACACATATGCAGAAGAACATCTTTTTTGAACAAGGCTCTCCAGGAACTGAAGTTCATTCAGAAAGATCTTCCCATTTCTTTGCTTCCGAATGTGCCAAGCAGTAATAAAGAAGATTTCTAGAAACCCTTCTGTCTGAATTGAATGCGAGCCGAAACAACAAATCTATCTATCAACTTTACAATATTTAACATATACTTATCAATATGTTTCACACTAAAGCATGGGTATCATTTGACTAATAAACCCTGATGTTTCATTATTTTCTTTTCTTTTTACTCCTAGGTTGATTATCAAAAAAAAAATATTGAGAATTGCTTAGTAATTCCCGCAGCAAAGCGTGGGGAATCACCTAGTTATATTAAAGTTACAAGCAATTAGCTATTTAAATATAGGAAAAAGTATGAATTACCCCCCCCCCCCGAACTATCGCGGTCGTCCGAATTACCCCTCTGAACCACAAAACCGGACATTCTTCACCCTCAACTATGCAAACCGGACGAATTACCCCCCTCGAATCAATTTAGAGCGGTTTTGTCCAACGTGGCGCACACGTGGCAATCCAGTCAGCGTTTTTAATTAAAAAATTGTGGGACCCGCATGCCATACTCTTCTCTTCTTCCCCTCTCTCTCTATTCTCTCTCTTGCTTTTTCTCTCTCGTGGCGGATGGCACGGGGACAGCGACGACGGAGGCAGCGGCGGCAGAGAGGCGAGGCGGCGGCGGAAGCAGCGAGCACGGGGAGGCGAGCGGCGGGGTAGGGCGGCGGAGGAGGCGAGCGGCGGCGGGAGCTCGCGCTACTCGTGGAGGAGGCGAGGCGGTGGCGGCGGAAGAGGCGAGCGGCGGCGGGGTGTAGCGGCGGCGAGGCGAGGCAGCGGCCGACGAAAGATGGGGGAGGGGAGAGGCGCGGCGGTCGGCGTCGAAAGATGTGGGAGGGGAGAGGTGCGGCAGTCGGCGTCGCCGCCGATGGGTCCGCCGCGGAGGGGGCGCAGCTCGATCGGGCTCGCTGGCCACCTCTTCCTTCTCTACCGCCTCGCCTCCCCGCTGCCGCCGCCTCCTCCGCCGCACCCCGCCGCCGCCGCCTTGCCTCCTCCACGAGCAGCGCGAGCTCCCGCCGCCGCTCGCCTCCTCTGCCGCCCAGCCCCGCCGCTCGCCTCCCCACTCTCGCTGCCTCCGCCGACGCCACTGCCTCCGCCGTCGCAGTCCTCGCCGCCCCCACGCCGTCCCCGCGAGCCACGAGAGAGAAAAAGCGAGAGAGAGAGAGAGAGAGAGAATAGAGAGAGAGGAAGAAGAGAAAAGGATGGCATGCGGGTCCCACAATTTTTTAATTAAAAAAACGCTGACCGGATTGCCACGTGTGCGCCACGTTGGACAAAACCGCTCTGAATTGGTTCGAGGGGGGTAATTCGTCCGGTTTGCATAGTTGGAGGTGAAGAATGTCCGGTTTTGTGGTTCAGGGGGGTAATTCGGACAACCGCGATAGTTCGGGGTGGTAATTCGTACTTTTTCCTTAAATATAATTACACTAAAATTATATCATATTTCCATTTGACAAATTTTTCGAAAAAAATATGTCGACAAATGTCTTATATACATGTGCATAGGACTCCAGGTTTGTTTCCAAGAGTCGCCCACCCAATGAATTTTCTTCATGAAAGTGTAATCCTTTGCGTAATATTTTTATGGGCATTAGGGTTTGATTTTAGACGGGGGAGCATCTAGTACTTCCCATCGACTATTAACTTACTGTACTTAATTAGCTCAAATGACTTTGTTACGCTTTATTTCAAACTACGTTGGAAATATAAGTAGTTTATTTGTGAGGGGACAAAAATTGTTTGGCAAAAAATAAGGAAAAAATATGAAAAAGTGCCTAGATCCAAAACAATTAATTAAGTTACATTTGGAAAATGTGGGCGGATATGGAGTATAACTGTGTGAGTCCTGACTTTACATCTGATAATTAGTTGATAGATATGATCATTTTCTTGTACAGTCATATACAAGAATCATTTGCATTTGTGGTTTGGAACACATGTGCACGTCAAGAAAATTTTGGCATGTCAGAGCTAATCGAGTTCCTAGTTCTCACAAAAAAAAAGTTACTAGTTCTCAAAAAAAAAGTTCCTATTCATATACATGTTCGTTACTCTTTGTGTATGCAATAGAAAAGGTACAATTTATTTTTTGACATTTACAATGTATTTTTTAAAAATTACACTACAATTATAGTGTTTTTTAAAAATTTATTATGTAAACATAGGTAATTTGCAATGTAAAAACAGTTTGATTATTATTTTTGAAAAATACGGCACAATAACTATAGCTAGTCCTTTTTTTTTGTACTAATAACAACATCAGGGTTTTTTAGATAAAGACTTACAACAAACAAGGAAGGACCATTGCATATATTGCCACCTACCTACCATAATGGCTATGTCCGTACTATGGAGGCAACACAGACCTTTCATCACTGATTCTTGCATCAATTTTTAGTTAATAACTAGGAAGGTAAACCGGTAATACAAGTCATGCTTAAGTTATAAACCAAGTCACAATAAAATAATAATAATAATTTATTTTTAATATAAATAAATTATCGAACGTGTACTGAAAATTCAACGGCGTTATCTATCGAAAATTGTACCTTTAATAATCGTACATATTTTTGAAAAATATTCTTTATCAACATTGATTATTTTAAGCTATTTGTTAGATATTTATAGATCAATACTCACCCTCTAAAGTATAAGTATATTTGGATTTTGGTAGGGTGTTTGAGATGTTGGATTTTTTTTATTTGGTCCTTTCAAAAACTTAATTTACAAATAGATCCCTAGAAAAACTTATTCTATAACAGATTTTTTTGGTGCGCTAGAGTGGCTAGTGTTGTCATCCAATAGGGTTGCGCCTGCCATACTGGCACCAACCCCCCACCACCCCAAGGCGCTAGTGCCTCTTGCACGCTCCTCCGGGGTAGGGGGTAGCACTTAACCCGTGGGCCCCACCCCTCCCCCTTCCCACACATTCGCCCCCTTCTCTCATGCTCGAGCTCAAGAATACCTCTTGTTCTCTCTCCCCTCTCACTTCCTCTTTCTCAAATTGATTCGTTTTGGAGCCATTTTTTGCGGGAACTTTTGAAGACATCGAAAAGCAAGATATACTCCTCCATTCCCACCTCTCAAATAGACTTCAATAATTGTTTTATCCTTTGTGTTGGTTTTTAGTCACTCTTTATATAGTTGCCTGAATGCTTGTTCTCTTTATGACATTATTGTAATAAGTGGTTATAGCTTCTTTGAAGTAAAGGTCGGGATTTATTCCATTATCTAAAAAATTCCCTCCTCTTTTTTTTAGTTTTAATCAGTGAAATTCGTAGATCGGAGGGTAATCTTATAACCCATCCCCCCAAAAAAAAATATTTGATTTTGGGGATATGTTGATTATAGTGTTACATGTGTGCAATATATTTGTTGGTGCTACGATTTTTTAAGTATGTATGTGGTAATGTTGATTAAGTTTAACATGTTTGACGTGTCACTATTTTAAATATACTTATATTTTATACTTATAGTTTTGGAACAGAAGAATTGTATGATTGGATAATCCTAACATATTAAATTGTTCTCTAATATTTGCACATCGGTTTTTGGCATGTACAGTGTTAGAATATGCATCCATGTACCATATATTTATTTTAATTTTTTTATATGCAATTATTAAGAAATGTTAATTAAATTATGTAATTATTAAGAAATACTAATTAAATTATTTTTATATTAATTGTTAGCTAGGAGGTTTAGCTTAAAAGAAAGAGAGGACAAGGGAGGGGAGGGAGTACGTACGTGCAACTATTTCTAAATATAGATCTAATCAATTTAATTAGTGGGTCCACCAGTTAAGGGAAAATCAACAGTTGATATTTTTTTCATAATATTTAGAATCTTTCTAATTTATTATATTGCCACGTGGCGGCTTAGGAGCGTTTATAGAAATCCCCCGTGGCGGTTTGAGAGTGTTTGTAGGAAGTTTAATGGACTTTTAGTATATAATATAATATAATATAATATAATAGATAGAAGATAGATAGATAGATAGATTAGAAATTGACATGCCACTAATTTTTAATTCTGTTTGAACCTCGATCAATTTCGAGTGCATCATCACCAACCCGTACGGTACACATGCAGACGGTTAGCAGTCCATTGCAAGCACACACATCTCGGTCGATCGGTTGGTGGTCAGCCTCGTACTAGATTCTCCTTTTGTTTTGCACAATAACACCTGTGTGTTCAAGTGTCGCACAAAGAATA